AATATGATTCTATCATGAAATTGATCTGAGATGAGCACAGCCAGCAGTCAACCATCTGACCTTCACTGAGTGAATTCCTGTTAAAGGGCAAAGCAGACTTTATTTTCAGGAAGGAGATGGGCAGATTAGTGACTGAGAGAGAAGATGAGGGAAGGACAGAGGCACTTCCAGAAAAGTCTCAATTTATGACAGAAAGTCTATGTAAAACCCTGTGACTCTTCCTAAATGGGTATCTCTGAGCTAACTGCTTATTATTTATAAGGCTTATTGGTAAAATGAGCATATTTTTAACACATACATCACAAGGCATTATAAGGATTAATGAGACAATAGGTCAAGTGCCTAGCAGGGGGCCTGACGCTTGAGGTGAGGTTACTCTTGTACTTGTTCATCATAATAAATAATGGCTTGTGTTTCACTGCCGAGGGGTAGAATGGGAGAGGAGGGGCAATGATGGGACACAGAGGCTCTGATGGGGAACTCAAGAAGTTAAAAAATTTTAGCTTTAGTTATATTGTCAGTAGGCTTGGTAATTAATGCATGTAAAACACTATCATTACCAGGAACTGAAATCTGATTAACCTTTTCCCTAAATTCCAAACCCCTTACCTACTTTGTCCTGAATTTCAAACCCTTTACCTACACTTTTCTTCTCCTTATAAAAAGGTTGGCTTGAGATGAGATGTAAGAGGTCTCTAGCCATCTTCTCTGAATAAAGTGCCCATAAAGATTCAATCCTTATCTCTGCTTATTGGTTCCAGTAGTGACAGGCAGCCTGAACACTGACTTTTCCAGTTTCATTTCTTTACTCAGGCACAAAGAAAGGTATCCTGTTAGTCATCATTTATTTATTCATTCATTCAAGATACTTATTGAGTACCTACTATGTGCCAGATATCATGTAAACAAGACAGGCAGAGATTCTTACCTTTTTGAAGCTCACAGACAATAAAAATATACAGCATATTAGGAGATGGTGAATGCTGCAGAAAAATAACATAGGAGTTGAGCCTTAAGGGGGATCAGAACTAAGGGGGTGAGCAGGATGGAGGAAGGGAGGCAGGTTACAAATGTAAATGCAATGGCCACAGTTAGTAAGTGTCCTTGAGGAAGTGGCATGGAGCAAAATCTTAAAGGTAAAGATTTCTGGACATCTAGGGGCCAGCAGGCCCACAGCTGCAGCAGAGCTCTGGCAAGAGCAGCCCCACAGCTGCAGCAGAGCTCAGGCAGGAGTTTCTGGAGCCGTGTCTTCAGGGGCAGCAGGAGCCAGAGTGTCTGGGCCAGTGAGCAAGGGGCAGAGAGCACAGAGGGGTCATATTGAACAAGGAGCAGAACACATTGGCTGTGTGGCTTTGTAGCAGAGTTTGCTTCTGCTCTGAGCAAAACAGGAGTCTTTGCAGGGTTTTAAACAGAGAAGTGGTAGGGTCTGACTTTAAAGGGCTTATACTAAGATAGGGGGTCCTTGAGAGGAATTTCTACCACCCTTCTATATGGTGGATGTAAAGGAATCTGTTCAAAGATAGATTACATAGTTTATGTGGGACAAGTCTCAGCAGGTTGTTGCTGGGGATTATAGAGAACAAAAGCTTTCTGAGGTAAGAGAAATGCAAAAAGATGCAGATCCAGATCTTTCAGGCTTTTATGCATAAACCATTCATCTTCTGCAAAGAAAAAAAAAGAATGTTTAAAATGCAGACAAAAATAAAAGATTGTGAGACTCTACTATTTTCCCCTTATTTTTACCTAGTTGCATTTTTAAATAGGTATTACCTGCATAAGATACTTCACAAGGTACAAAAGGATGCTAAATATGTCTTTTTCCTTACCTCTTTCCTGGTCCAACATTCCTCCCCTCCCCAAGCCAGGCCCCATAGAATCAAAGACGGTCACCATTGGTTGTGTAGCCTACTAGAGGCATAAAAAAAATACATATGTACCTTATTATTGTGGACTGAATTGTGTCATTTCCCCACCTTCTCACCCCAACCCCTGCCAAATTTATTTATTGAAGCCCTAACCGCAGTACCTCAGAATGTGATTGCATTTGGAGGTAGAACTTTTAACAGGTAATTAAGGTTAAATGAGGTCATTGGGGTGGTGTCATATGACTGATGTCATAAAAAGAGGAGATTGGGACACAGACACAAAGGAAAAACCAGGTGAAGACATCAAGAAAAGATGGCCATCTACAAACCAAGAAGAGTGACCTCAGAATAAACCAAACCTGTGACAGCTTGATCTCAGACTTCTAGCTCCTAAAACTCTGGGAAATAGCCCTGGTCAGTTTTTCCACAGTGCTTAGAGCAGTGGTTCTCAACCTTCCTAATGCCGCGACCCTTTAATACAGTTCCTCATGTTGTGCTGACCCCCAACCATAAAATTATTTTTGTTGCTACTTCATAACTGTAATTTTGCTACTGTTATGAATCATAATGTAAATATCTGATATGCAGGATGTATTCTCATTGTTACAAATTGAACATAATTAAAGCATAGTGATTAATCACAAAAACAATATGTAATTGTATATGTGTTTTCCGATGGTCTTAGGCAACCCCTGTGAAAGGGTCGTTCGACCCCCAAAGGGATCAAAACCCACAGGTTGAGAACCCCTGGGCTAGAGCATTGCCTGGTGCACCAAAGGGCCTCAAGTTCAATTCCTGGTCAAGGCCAAGTACCTGGGTTTCAGATTCAACCACCCTTGGGGCATGTGCCAGAGGCAACCAATTAATGTGTGTGTCTCTCACACTAATGTTTCTCTCTCCCTCTCTCTCTCTCTCTCTCTCTCTCTCTCTCTCTCTCTCTTCTCTCTCCCCTCACTCCCTCCCTTCCACTCCCTCTAAGGATCAATAGAAAGAATATCTCTGGGTGAGGATTAACAACAACAAAAAAACAGACACAGATCAATGGAACAAAATAGAGTCCAGAAGTAAACCCATGCCTATATGATCAATTAATATATGACAAAGGAGATAAAATATACAATGGGGTAAAGACAGTCTATTCAATAAATGGTGTTGGCAAAACTGGACAGATACATACAAAAAAAAATGAAATTAGACCACCTTATTACACCATATATAGGAATAAATTCAAAATGGATTAAAGACCTAGATATAAGACCAGAAACCATACAACTCCTAAAAGAAAACATAGACACTCAACTCTCTGCCATTGCTCTTAGTAGTACTTTTTCTGATATATCTCCGCAGGCAAGGGAAACAAAAGAAAAAAATAGAGAGGCTTCCCGCATGGGTGGCTGATCCCCTCTCCTCCCTCACCGGGCCAGCTGTGCCCGGCGTGGGTGGGTGTCCCGCGATGGAGCTGCTGCAGCCGCATCCCGCCTCACTGAGCCCCGCTCTCAGCCCCGCCGGCGTGCGCGGGGGCGCCAAGCGTCCGAGCCACCTCCCGGGCCTCCGGCTGGGAGCTCAGGACCTCTTGGGGTCCCCGGAGCGTGCGGCCACTTTCTCGCCAGTCGCCACCCTCACCCAGACCATGCACGACCTCGCTGGGCTCGGCAGGGGGGCCCCAAAGAGTCAGGGCTCTGCATGGATTCTCCCAGCCCCATGGACCCCCAGATGGCGGAGCAGACGTTTGAGCAGGCCATCCGGGCAGCTAGCCGGTTCGTTTGAAGCAAGCAGTTCCCCATCCGACGCTTCCAGTCCTTGCCGGTGAGGCTTCTGGGCCACAGCCCTGTGCTACGGAACATCACCAATGCCCGAGCGCCTGGCAGCTGGAAGAAGAGTGAGGCGCGTGACCAAACTGCCCACAGCTCTGAGGAGGATAAGGAGAATGATGGGTTTGTCTTCAAGATGCCATGGAAGCCCACACATCTCAACCATGCCCATGCTCTGGCCGAGTGGGCCAACCGCAGAGAAGCCTTTGCCCAGAGGCCAAGCTCGGCCCCCGACTTGATGTGTCTCACCCCTGAGCGGAAGATGGAAGTAGGGGAGCTGAGTCGCCTGGCCCAGCGCTTCCCCCTAACCTCCACCAAGGGAGTTCCTGACGAAGATGATGGGTTTGTGGACATTCTGGAGGATGACTTAGAGGACGCTGATTCAGTTCCCCGAGGCATGGAGAGCCTCATTAGCGCCCCACTGGTCAAGACTTTGGAAAAGGAGGAGGAGCAGGACTTCATCATGTACAGCAAGTGCCAGCGGCTCTTTCGCTCTCCGTCCATGCCATCCGGCCCATCCTCAAGAGACTAGAGAGACCCCAGGACAGGGACTTGCCCGTACAGAACAAGCGGAGGAAAAGTGTGACCCCTCTGGAGGAGCAGCAGGAGGCTGAGGAACCTAAAGGCCAGGTCCTTCGCTCCAAGTCATTGTGTCACGACGAGATTGAGAATATCCTGGACAGTGACCACCGTGAACTGATTGGGGATTACGCTAAGGCCTTCCTCCTACAGACTGTGGATGGGAAGCACCAAGACCTCAAGTACATCTCACCAGAAACGATGGTGGCCCTGCTGATGGGCAAGTTCAGCAACATCGTGGAGAGGTTTGTGATTGTGGACTGCAGATACCCCTACGAGTATGAAGGCGAGCACATCAAGACTGCTGTGAACCTGCCCCTGGAACAGGACGCGGAGATGTTCCTGCTGCAGAGCCCCATCACACCCTGCAGCCTGGACAAGAGAATCATCCTCATTTTCCACTGTGAATTTTCATCTGAGCGTGGGCCCCACATGTGCCGTTTCATCAGGGAGCGAGATCGAACCATCAATGACTACCCCAGCCTCTACTATCCTGAGATATACATCCTCAAAGGCGGCTACAAGGAGTTCTTCCCGCAGCACCCGACCTTCTGTGAACCCCAAGACTATCGGCCCATGAACCACGAGGCCTTCAAGGACAAGCTGAGGACCTTCCGCCTCAAGACGCGCAGCTGGGCGGGGGAGCGGAGCCGGAGGGAGCTCTGCAGCCGCCTGCAGGACCAGTGAAAGAGCAGC